ATATATATATATATATGAGTAATGGTCCTATGACACCCTCCCACACCCATGTGTGAAGGACCCCAAAGGATCACCATTAGATTTAGCACAGATCTTTTCTATATATATATATATATATATATGAAAACTGATATGGTGCGCAACCTCATGTAGATAAGGTAAATGCGCCAACGGCCCAGATTGAATCTGGGCCGATCTGGCCATCACGGATGTCTGGTAGTGTTTGAATTTTAATTATTTTACTACATGTCCAAATCACTTGAAATTTTTGGTATGTGTTCTTCAAAAATAAGAGAATCTACGAAAAATATTAAAAAAAATATTTTACATGAAAAAAATTGATCAAAATACCTCCTAAACTTTATGGGGGTATTTTGGTCAAATATTTGTTTAACATTTTGAATACATTCTCCTATTTTTAAATAATAGGCGACTAAAATTTCAAGTTATTTGGATTTGTAGAAAAAAAATTAAAATTCAAATATTACTTGATACTACCGGACATCCGTGATCGTCCGATCAGCCCAGATTCAAACTGGGCCGTTGCGCATTTAGCTTATCTATATGAGGCTGCACACCATATCATTTTTCATAAGCCTCGTGTAGATAAGGTAAATGTTTCCATATATATATATGGATTATTTATTTGTGCACACACATAGGATGCGGTCTGCTGTAAACAAGAGGATCAGGGGCTATGGCTGCGAATTATGGGTGCATGCAGAGTATTTAACATTGTGTCTTATACTTTATTTTCAGGGATATCAATTCTGGACCAGAACTGATTATGATGGTTATTTCACCATTAGTAGTGTTCGGGTTGGAGATTACAATCTGTATGCATGGGTGTATGGTTTCATTGGAGACTACAAATATGATGGAAAGATTACCATATCTTCAGGTGAGTGCACCTTTAGCATGAATCATGGTTAACATGGAAAAATTCTGCTACAAAATGTTCTTACCAATGCTCTAAAACTCGCCAAATTCAATCAAATTCCGGCGAGTCAATTGGAACAAACTGCCTCTCAGTGCCAGAGGGCAGCAAACCCTGTACGGGCCCTATTGGCCATCAAACTAATTGGGTCATGGTTCACATCCAGACAATTTATATCCGTCTAGGAGGAGTCCTTAAATGTGGATCAAATCCAACAAAAAAAAGTGGAAATGTAAGCCAGGAGATCTTGAAAAAAAAAGCATTGGGGGCTATTTCCATGTCCTCTATCCAATCCATGCCATGCGTTTTATAAACAGAATACTCGACATCTCGTAAGTCCAAGATTTGCAATTTCCATTTAGTCCTTGGATGATAATTTTAACATCTTTGGATCAAGTAGATTGGAAATCCAATGATAAATATGGTTTAGAGGTTTTTATCTGAGGCATTTAAGACTCTATTTACAAAGATTGGAGGCCTCTATTCAAATCAAATAATTCTTTTGTAGGATTGACTTTGAAACTTTGTTTAAGAAAAATAAGACTTTGTTTATTCATTTTAAATTCATATAAACAAATATATTTTGGAAAAGTATATCTAAATGAAGTGATATTTTCTTTATTATTGTACTTTTGTCGCATTCTCTTAAAAAAGTCAGCTGCAATTTTTTTTTACAATTTAATGTGTGTGCATGAGGTGCACCTCAAAGGTCCATCAAAAAATGTTGTTGAGATACCGAAAAATCTTCTAATTGATCATCTTGACATCGATATCTATATATATATAATTAAAAAAAAAAAAAAACATATTAAAAGATTTCAAGTCTCGAAAATAGTGCATTTTTTAATCTATTTTCATGACTGTCAAGTGTTCATAGTTCTGCTTGATTTACACTTTTTTTAGATTTTCAAAATTCGCGAGGTGACCTGAAAATAGATTTTGAGATCATCCTTCGGGCAATGAAACATAGCTCTATATGAATAAAACTTAGCTTAAATTAGATGTTTCAAACTTGGTGTGTCCAACTCGGACTTGCCCCAGATACTAGGGTTTGGGAAAAACTCAAGGCTATGTATAAGTGATTTATGAATTACTATAATATACTTGTAATTGATTTAATCTTTGACTAAATAACATAATTGCCGTTGATTAGTTTTCTATATATTTTAATGGTTTTATAATTTTTAAAGAATTTTCTATTTTCTAATATAAAAATAAGAAATTGATTTTCAACCCCTTTTTTTTTATTTTTTTTTTCAAATCTTTTGTTTTTTTATTAGTTGTTTACCAATTTTGGTTTTTCTCCTAGAGGTTTTTATAATAGGTTTTTATTTTTATTTTTGGGATTGTTTGGCCCATTGACCAGCTCGGCCCAAACTTGGCCTAGTTGACTCTGACTCAGCACAGTGATTCGGTCAGGCCTGGCTCTAAGTTCCACGCCCGAGACGAGTTTAAAAACACTTGCTTAAATTGACCTGTATGTACGAGGAATGTGAGAACTGTATTTTAGTTTCAGTTAGCGAGGACATGTAGGAGTATGTTGTGGATGCTTGCATTATGAGTAATGCTTTGGACAATGAGTTACTTTTCCTTCAAGATTTTTATCTCTTTGCTCTCTCTAGAGTCATTTGGGAAGTGAACGTTTTCTAACTCTTGGTTTATGTTGACTGCTGATATGTTTTATATTCTAATTTTTGCTTCAAACTTTATTCAGGATGTGACGTAGATTTGGGTGAAATTGTTTTTGAGCCTCCAAGAGATGGCCCAACTTTGTGGGAGATTGGTATTCCTGATCGATCTGCAGCTGAATTCTATGTTCCTGATCCTAATCCTAAATATGTCAACAAACTTTATGTTGACCATCCAGACAGGTTTCTTCATTATTCCTCATTCATGTATTACACCGTTGTTTTTGCTATCTAATAGCTTTTCTTATGTATCACAAATTGAAGCTACTAGTAAGGCTTCTTTGGTTCTTCTGCAATCAACTCAAAATATTTTTCTCTTCCTGAAACTCGTAAACATGTTTTGATAGTATATCAGAACCTTAGCTACTGTTAACGTGTACCATATTAAGCAAGAGAGATTTTGAGAATCATAAAATAATAAAATAAAATAAAATAAAATAAAATAAAAGAAAGAGCCAAAGAACTTCAAAGAAATAAAACAAGTCGATAAGAAACTATTCAAGATTTTACAAAGAGCATGTAAAATACTATCATATGTGTATACCGCCTTGGTTTTACCTTGCCACAGTGTGATGTTTCCATAGCCGTTGCTACCATCACTCTTGATCGTAACTTATGAACAACACCTTCATACAATTTATAACTGACTCAAATAATTGATTTTACCCAATTCCCTGTCGCTTTATCATATATTTAATTGTGTCCTAAATTGTATTGATACTATCCTATTGATTTATTCAAGCTGAATCACTATTTTTCTAGTGGCCTCTTAGATGTGCAATACAAAAACTATAATTCCAAAATGTAATATGTTCTACATCCTTGTAAAATACCATTTCATCTTATTTATCAAAGACTAGATCTATTCTTCCTCCTATGACATTTTTCCACTTTATAAATCATCCTAGTCAAAATGCATCACAGAGGAGTAACCCAAACTGCTGAATTTCCTCTGAAATGGAAATGTAACAATATAATATCAATATTTGGACCACAATTTTTCTTTTGATGAACTCTCTACTATTTAACTAGTGTAGTAACTTTCTACTGCTTGACTTAAACATTGGTTTATTATATCTTTGCTTTATCTTTCCTAGTTCTAAAGTTGTGGTGATGATGTCATATTTTTTGATTCTAGAAGCACATGGCTTGTATACAACATGCCTTGCTTGCAGTTCTCTCTTTTCATTTGTTAGCTTAAAGATTGAATGAAAAAATCATAAATCCTCTCTAATTTATTCTAGTCTAAATAAAGTAATTTACCTAACTAAACATAGCCTATGTTAATTCTTATCAATGTTTGGAATGAAAACTACTCAAACATATCAAGGGATATTCATTTGCTCTAATTGAACTATCTTGTCTAGTGGCCCCTTAGATGTGTAGTACAAAAACTATAATTCCAAAATGGAATCTGATCTACATCCATGTAAAATACCATCTCATCTTATTTCTCGAATACTATATCTCTTCTTCTTCCTAAGTCATTCTTTTATCTTATAAATCATCCTAGTCAAAATGCAACACAGAGTAACCCAAACTACAAAACTTCCTTCTGAAATGGAAATTAACAATATGATATCGTTTAGTATATAATGAAACAATATGATATCAATATTTGGTCCCCAATTTTCTTTTGATCATCATTATATCTACTATTTAACTAGTGTAGGAACTTTATGCTGCTTAACTTGGACATTGTTTTATCATATAGCTCGAATACAACATGCCTTGTTTGCGGTCTAGCTCTTTCATTTGTTGGCTTAGAGGTGGAATGAAAAATACATAAATAAACCTCTCTAATTTATTCTAGTCTAAATAAAATAAATTACCTAGCTGAACATAGACTATGTTAATTCTTATCAATGTGTGGAATGAAAACTCCTCAAAACATATCAAGGCATATTGTAGCAGTACTCCTACAAGTAATTGTAGCAACTAGAGAGTTTCTGACAGACTTGACAAGTCCATATATACTCTTAAAAATCATATATTGCAAAAATTTAAAGGTCAGATAGTCTTGCTATTGTAAGCAGCTTCTAATGTCGATTCTAAGAAACTCTCAAGAATATCTCAGTAATGAGTCAAAAACTTGTGGAGTGCTAGATATTGCTTATGCAATTGCAATGGTTGGATTAAAGTTGGCTTATTGTGGGCTTTATGGTTAATCCTTCTGCCTAATTCTCACAGGTTCAGGCAGTATGGGTTATGGGAAAGATATACTGACTTGTATCCAAATGACGATCTTGTCTATACTGTTGGCACAAGCGACTATCAGAAAGATTGGTTTTTCGCACAAGTAACGAGGTAAATCTTTTTAACCATAGCATTGTGAAAGTCTATTGAACAATGATGCACCAACTTACTGCACCTTTCAATCATCAATTCAAAAGAATTTGTGTTGGCTATTTTGTTGCTTGAAGTATATTGATGCTCTTGAAAGCTAGAAACATTTTATGGTGGGTAGTTTTGTGAGAATAAATGCTAGCATCGATAATGAAATCTCTAAAATGTGTATTTCTATTTATGCATGTTATATGTGTTTATGTATAAAAATGTTCGGATATATTTTATTGTACTATTTTGGAACTTGCCATGAGTACATAAGGAGTGATCAAAACCCACAAAGATTTATTAAATAGCCCATAAAGGGGTTATCTAGCTCTGGCCTCCCTTGGTACCAGAGAGTACAGGTCTGTAGTTGCTTTGCTGATGAGGTTGTGGCTCTTTTCCTGGGAAGCACTCCCAGAAACACAATGATCGAATGAAAAAAAGAATAAAAGTTATTGTCATTTGCACTTTAATCTCTTACCTAATAAAGTGAAATATATAAATTATCTTATGATTGATATAAAAGTCCTTTAGAAGGCTATGGAACAATTATACCCCAGCGTGATGTGAAAAAGATGACAATGCTAATTTTGGGGAGATATACAATCCTTGGACCACATATTCTAAAACTGCTACTCAAGCAGGTCACTAAAACTGCATTGTTGCTATGCTGCTCGGTAATGGTTTTCATCTTTTAGAGTGACAATGTGTTTTTGATGAGCACTAATGCAATGCGGATTGTGCATAGAGCATCCCAAAATGGCCGGCATGTCCTCTTCAACTTTTTGACTTTGCTACCTAGCGGAGCAAGTGCTTTGAGTAGCTAGCCTACACAGGCTCAACAAAAAGTGGAAATTCATCTGTGTCTGATTGATATAAAAAATCAAATTAAATTGTTTGCATTCATCTTTAACCTGAAAATCACTTTCATTTACGATTATTAAGGTCATTCTTGTTCAGTGCTTAGGAACACCTCTATTGCATAATCGAGAACCCCAAATACTGAGTTCCCATCCAATATCATATACATAATTAGCTAAATGTGAAATAGAAAAACACAACCAAAAATCTGTGTCCATGAAACAAAACAAACACAAAAGTTACATCACAACTATGTGGTTTACCCATAGGTGCATCCACGACCACGTCAAGTAGAAATCTTCTATCACAATGAGGATTATAGTTTAGGGTTACAAGAGATATACCATTCTCCAAATATGGGTAAAAAACTCGTTGTTCTTCTCTTCTTGACCCCTCTCGTACAGTCAACCTCATCTTTCCTATTGTTATACTGCTACCAGAAAGATAACCTTGATAGTAACCGAGAGATTTTCTCTAGCTAGAAGTTGAAACTTTATCAACCCAAAACCCCCTGAGAATACCGCCTTTCCCTTGGAGGCTATACCTTTGTCTCTTGGAGAGTCATCTCCATTTTGCAGATCCATTCTTATAACCTATTTGAGGGTGACCCTAAAAGGGATGGGTATTATATCTTCCTTGGCCCTCTCTATAGAGATCACTATTGTTCTTTTTCTTTTTTTCTTTTTTTTTCTGCTCCTCAAAAAATCATCTTTTCTTTTTAACATAATGCCCTTAATCATAGTATATTACCAAACCTAACAATTCTCTCACAGCATGCTATGTCTCAGAGCTTCAACATGGATAAACAATGAGAAGAATCATTATCCAATTGTTAAACATTAAAAAATAATTCTAGCTACTAAGTTTATGAATACTTGAATCTCTTTAAAATGACCAACAATTTGGTCCAGTGAAACAATAAATATTCCTAAATGGGTTCAAACATGTAGCTTCATAGAGAATTGGTCGTTGCTTGGAAATTAGATTTATGGGGTTAGAGGCAGAAGGGTAAAGAACACAAATGTTAAATTTTAAGAAGGAAATGCCTCCACATTGCCATCCATGGGAGGAGATCCACCTAAGGAGAATGAGTTTTCATTGTTGATCACTTCCTCTTAAAATTTTCTTCTACATTATATTGACTCTTGGTGCCTGGTATCAAAGAAACAAGGGTACATATTACTGGTTCTCCTGAATTACTTTATGTCGTCCTAGAAATTGAATACTATGTATCTCATAATCATGTGGGAGATAGCCATCATCAAAATAGTAATAACGTGGGAATACAACTCTCTCCCTCTCTCTCCCTTTGTCTGTGTGTGTGCGCATGCGGATGTGTGTATGCACATGCCAGGCAGATGTGGATATGCACTTATCAGGTGTTGCATTATGCATTATGTTGCATACCAAACACCATGTAATATGTGTTGCATTATTTTCTATGTTAATCACTAAGGAAGATTTTTCAAGCATGATTTGGACATGGTTTTAATTAAATATATTTGAATCTTATGCAATTTTGTGCTGTAATATAGGAAGGGAGAAAATGGCACATATCAAGCTACAACATGGCAGATAAAGTTCGACCTTGATAGTGTAAACCAAGATGGTACCTATAAGCTCCGAGTGGCCCTCGCATCAGCTGCAATGGCTGAACTACAGGTATTGAACTTGGTCGATGTACACTTCTTCTTCTTTCCAATCAAGTTATGAATCCCTTAAACTCATTGCACAATATTTCTCTCTCTGAGGTTCGATTCAATGATCCCAAAGCCAATCCACCACATTTTACAACTGGAATAATTGGGATGGATAATGCAATCGCTAGGCATGGGATTCATGGGCTCTATTGGTTGTATAGTATTGATATACCAAACACTCAGCTTGTGGTGGGGGTAAATACGATCTTTCTCACTCAAGCTAATAGCACAAGTCCTTTCCGAGGTATTCTTTATGATTATATTCGGCTAGAAGGGCCTCCCTCCGAAGAACTCCCTCACCATTCTCATTGAAAGGTAATATTCCACGAATTTCAAAAGCTATTCCTTGCATTTCCATTTTGATGGGTGATTTTATCATAGAAGGCCTGTTGTTTTGAACAGTTTGATTTATTGTTGGATATGAACGTCGTAACTTCTTGAGAGATTGTAGAAAATATGTAACATGACTAAGTATTAACGAGAAAATTTGGTGAACTTTTAGCTAATGGAGATTATTTCAAGGAAATCTTTGCGTTTTACAGTTCTCCTCAAGTTAATAATGCTTCAATGAATTCAAAGCTGAAACTTTTCTTTCCAAATTTTTATTCTAAGTTGCAGACTAGAATTGGTTTTTACCGGCAAAGGAGCGGAAAAGAAACTGCAGTGAGAGTAAGGACTTATAAATAGGAATGTGCATGTAGGTGACCTAAGAGACTTGGCTAATTTATCATGTCCACTCTTTATTTTTTTTCTTTTATTTAAAGATTTTTTAGGATTGGTAAATTCATGTTGTTAGTGTCTTAGAGATAAGGGGCTATTAACAAACTTGTAAAACCTCCTTCCACCAAACCTATCACCACTTTATCAACAACAAATAAATCATCTAATCCTTATCACAAATGAGATATTTAAGGTTGACCATATCAATTTGTTTGGCGTACATAATTTTACACTTATCTTGTAAATGTATCTAAATACATTAATGGACATATCACTCCTCTCATCTCAAAAACGTGAGAGTGAGTTTCAAAGTCTCTCAATATCTCTCTAGAGTTTGAAAGTCTCTCTCTTCACTCTCACTCTCTCACATACTTATCATGGTATCACAAGCCTAAGTGGGACATCAGTTTTTTTCTTCTACAAAATCAGCTCCAATTTGCTTACATTGTGATGGATAGCGAAGACCTATTGATGCACTACTAGCTGGTTTTTGCTTCTGCAACCAAGACCTGTTGATGCAATATTAGCTATTTTTGCTTCTCTAACCAAGCATATAAAGCATGACAAGCCTTTACACAAGCATTTATTGCTTGAGAGAATGTCAAGGTGGTCTGTTGCTTGAGAGAAAACGACTGCTTCGACTTCTTAAAGTTGTGATTCTTCCATATACGATAACAATCTATGCTGCGACTGATTTATCGCTCTCTAACTGACCCTCAAAGCACCCCTACCTTGCTGAATTTACCAATCCCATGACTACAACTTCTTCCCTATTTTCTAACATCACACATTTGGTATCCATCAAACTTGATCCAACCAACTATCTACTGTGGCGGTCGCAATTATTACTTATTTTGCGCAGCGAATACCTAAATGATTATGCCGATGGATCAACTCCCTCTCTACCCAAGTATTGTGAGGGTGATCCAAATAAGAAAATCAATCTCGCATTCACTGCATAGAAAAAACAATATCAACTTTTATTGAGTTGGTTAATTGCTACAATGACAAAATGAGTGTAGTCACAAGTAGTTGGCCTCACTACTTCCTGAGATGTGTGGCAAACATTAGAGAAGCTCTATGTGTCACAGTCAAGATCTTGTATTATACAATTTAAGCTTCAACTTCAAACTCTTAATAAAGAAACAATGTCCAGATCAGACCACCTCAACAAGGCAAAAACTATCACAGACAGTCTTGCCGTTATTGCTTATCATGTTGACGACTATGATCTTGTCCTATACATTTGTGAGGCCTTGGTCCAAGATATGATTCATTCATAACATCCATCACAACTCTAGTTGATCCAGTAAGCTCATATGAGCTTCTTCTTGATCAAGAAATAAGCCTTGAAACCAACACCAATAAGGTGTTCTAGATCAGCTAGCAATGGCCTTTTTTACCAATTGTGCTCCATCCCAATCATTTTGAGGACATGGGAATTATCAAACAATTGTGGCAGAGGCCATGGTCGTGGTGGTCGTTGCCCATCCTCGGATTCATCTTCCAATAATCATTGCTCAACACAAAAACAAATATATTAGATCTCTAACCGAGTGAACCACTTGGCTCTTGCCTGCTTTCATCACTTGGATATGTCTTTCCAAGGTCGACACCCTTCGTAAAAACTTGCTGCCATGGCTACCGCTCCTTCAATAGATATTGAATGGTATACTGATACTGGGGCAATAAACCACATCACCTCTAATTCATCTTTCTCTTTGGTCAAAGTATCTAAGGATAGAGCACATGGCAGTTGGGAATGGTACAGGTTTGAAAATCCATCATATTGGGTCCACCACTTTTGCACTCTCCCACCTCTAATCTTCACCTAAATAATATTTTACATGTTCCTAATACTTCAAAAAATATTCTTTCCGTTACGACAATTTAATCTCAATAATGACTTTTTTTTAATTCCATGCTTCCGATTTCTTTTCAAGGACAAGCTAATAAGGAAGATCCTTTTTCGATGATAGAGTAATGATGGTCTCTACCCTCTTGAAGTAAAGCGTAGTCACATGAATAAATATGTGCCTCATTTAGCTCTCATCAGTGAACGAGTTTCTCCTCAAACCTAGCATCATCGTCTAGGCCATCCTACACATGGTACCTAACAACACCTTCTCTCTCATGGACTACCCACTGATGGTTCTTGTCAACCTTCATTCATTTACACTTCTTGTCAAATGGATAAAAGCAAGTGATTACATTTCACTCTATCTCCATCGATTGCCTCTCAACCATTGCAACTTATTCACATTGGGGTCCCTCCCAGTTATGTCAATACGTGGATATCACTATTATATTGTTTTTATTATATTGTTTTTATTGATGATTATAGTAGATATTGTTGGATTTATCCTTTGGTCCTTAAATCACATACCTTTGATGTGTTTGTTGCACTTAAAATTTTGGTGCAAAATATGTTTGAAACTAAAATTAAGAGCCTACAATCTGATGGAGGGGTGAATTCAAACAATTTTTATCTACTAATGGCATCTTTCATCGAACAAAATGGCACTGCAGAACACAAACACGTCCTGTGGTAGAAACATGGCTCTCCTTGTTAGCCCATACTCATATGCCACAACAATATTGGGTGGAGGCGTTCAGCACTGCCGTTTTTTTAATTAATCAACTCCCTACAAAAGTCATTGGCAATATTTCTTGATATCAAAAATTGTTTCAACAACCACCTGATTATAATATCTTGCGCTCATTTAGTTGTACTTTTTTTTCCTTATAAATGTCCATATAACACCCACAAATTGGCCTTCCGGTCGATTCCATGTGTTTTTAGCAGGTATAGCTTAAATTATCATGGTTATTGTTGTCTTGATCTGGCCACAACACATATTTTTCTCTCTAGGCATGTAATATTTTACGAGTCTCGGTTCCCATTTGTAACAACTCACCATTGCATTCGGCTAGTCCTCACACAGAAACTAGTCACACCTCGTCAGTAATCATTGGCCCACTTCATGTGGACCTCATGGATTTTCCCCATCACCTGTCCCTACAACCCCTCAATTTACACCCAGCCCCCATAATACCTCACTTTTCCCTCCCACTAACTCTACTCCTAACAACCTTCCTACGATACTTCATGCCCCCTCTATACTTGCTTTTACCCTCCATGACCACTCTAGCAACACTAACTCTAATGAACTCCTTCCCTTATCCACCCAGCCACTTGTAACTCCAAACATCACTAATGCATCATCAACCTAGACCTGGCAACCATCCACTCACCCATTGATAACCCGAAGTAAAGATGGGACATGCCACAAATGTGTGCTCCTTTCCACATTGTACCCTATGCATGTTGCCCATACTACGTCTACTACTACTACTAGCGAGCCTACATGCTACACTCAAGCATCAAAGTTACCATAATGGAGGGTGGCTATGGCTAGTGAATTTGTTTAAAATGGAATGGGGTATTTGTGTTGTCTCACCCTAACCAAAAATGTAGCCTGTTGTCAATGGATATATAAAATCAAATACAAAACGGATGGGACTATTGAAATGTATAAGGCACGCCTAGTAGCCAAGGGTTTTAATTAGCAACCTGGCATCCAGTACTCAAACACATTCAGCCCTGTTGTCAAACCTACTACCATTCAAATGGTTCTCTTGCTTGCCGTCAATCATAATTCGCCAATTCGCCAACTTGATGTACAAAGTGCATTTTTGCGTAGAGTATTCTGAGGAAGTATATATGCAGCAACCACTGGGGTTCATTGATCACATATTTCTGACGCACATTTGCTGCCTTAAAAAGGCTTTGTATGGTCTCAAATAGGCTTCTCGAACCTAGTTTGAGAGGTTCACATAGTATCTTATTCATCTCAAGTTTGTGGGATCTAATACCGAGTCCTCTCTATTTGTCCTCTGGACCGATAGCATTATCACCGTTGTTCTAATCTATGACGACATTCTTATCACTGACAATAGTGGCATCCACTTAAATATATTGATCCATGATCTTGGGTGCCTCTTCGCTATGAAAGACCTTGAGCCCTTGCATTATTTTTTAGGCATCAAGGCGCATCACTCTTCTGAAGGACTCTCTTTGTATCAATCTAAATATATTACGGACATACTGGCATGATCCAAATTGAGAGGGTCCAAACCTTACATGACTCTTGCTATCACTGATAGCAAATTATTTAAGGATATAGGCAATCCACTCATTGATGGTACTGAGAATCGGAGTATTGTTGGTGCTCTCTAATATTAACAACGACACAGCCCGACATTGCTTCTCTCGTCAATCAAGCGTGTGAATTTATGCACTGCCCACTATAACATACTGGGATGTTGTCAAACGCATTCTACGGTATCTTAAAGGCATGATTGATTATGGTCTTCACTTTCAGTCAGGCCAACGAAAACTTGTTGCTTATTTTGATGCGAACCGGGCAGGCAATCCAGATGATCGTTGGTTGACAAGGGACCATTGTGTATACTTTGGAAGCAACCGCGTTTCAAGGAGTGCCAAGAAACAACCCATTGTTGCTAGGTCAAGTACAGAATCTGAATATAGATCTTTGGCTCACACCGTTGTTGAGTTGTACTGGATTCACATGCTTCTCAAGGACTTACACGTTTTTTTACCTTCTCCACCTATCATTTGGTGCAACAACATAGGTGCACTCTCTTTAATTGCTAATCCAGTATTTCATGCACTTACTAAGCATGTGGAAGTTGACTATCACTTTGTTCACGAAAAGGTGTTTCGTAAAGGTCTTAATGTTCTTTATGTCTTCACCTGTGACCAAGTAGTGGACTTAGCCACTA